TACAGAAGGTCATCAAGAAGATCATACACCCTGACTAAGTCAGATTTATTCCAGGATGCAAAGATGGTTCAACATATTTAAATCAAAAAATGTAATACACTATATTAACACAGTCAAGGACAAAAACCATATGATCATCTCAATAGATGCAGAAAAATCAATGGATAAAATTCAACATGCATTCATGATAAAACCCTGCAGAAAATTGGAATAGATGGTCTTTATCTCAACTTGATAAAGGCTATGAAAAATCAACAGCCAACATCATATTAAATGGCCAAAAACTGAAAACGTTTACATTAAAATCAGGAACAAGACAAGGATGGCCACTATCACCAACTCCTGTTCAATATAGTTCTGGAAACATTAGCCACAGCAATTAGACATGAGAAAGAAATTAAAGCAATAATGATAGGCAAGGACTATCATTATTTGCTGATGATATGATACTCTACATAAAAGACTCAAAAAACTCTGCCAAAAGGCTTCTAGACTTGACACTTTCAAAAGAGTAGCTGGATACAAGATCAGTGCTCAAAAATCCATAATCTTCTTGTACACAAATAACAGACTCACTGAGAGAGAAATTAGGGAAACAATTCCTTTTACAATAGCATCCCAACAAAATGAAGTATCTAGGAATCAATATAATGAAGGAAGCAAAAGACCTCTACACTGAAAACTACAGCACTCTGAAAAAAGAGATCACAGAGGATATAAGAAAATGGAAAGATATCCCCTGCTCCTGGGTAGGAAGAATCAACATAGTGAAAATGGCCATACTTCCAAAACTGCTATACAGATTCAATGTAATACCAATTGAAATTCCAACAGTATATTTCATAGAACTAAAGAAAATAACCCAAAAATTCATTTGGAACCAGAAGAGACCTAGAATAGCAAAAGCAATTCTAGGCAACAGAGACTTGGCAGGGTTATCAAAATCCCCAACTTGAAACTATACTACAAATCCACTGCAATAAAAACAGCATGGTTCTGGCAAAAAAACAGACCTGAGGATTAGTGGAATAGATTGGAAGATACAGAAACAATTCTAGAAGTACTCAGCTACCTCATCTTTAACAAAGGAGCCAACCATCCTCAGTGGAGGAAAGACAGTCTCCTTAATAATGGTTTTGGAGAAACTGGATTTCCACCTGCCAAAGATTAAAATTAGTCCCTTATCTTTCACCATGCACTAAACTAAAATCCAAATGGATTTAAGATCTAAATATTAAAGCACAAACACTAAACTTGCTGGAAGATAAGTTAGATAGAACTCTTAAAGACATTGGCATAGGAAGAGACTTTATGAACAAATCCTCGGTAGCATGGGAACTAGCAGAAAGAATCAACAATTGGGATCTCATCTTATTAAAAAGCTTCTGCACTACAAAAGAAACCACCAACAAAACTAAGAGACAACCTATAATGTGGGAAAAAAATTTTACCAGCTGCTCTTCAGACAAAGAACTATTATCTAGAATATATAAAGAACTCAAAAAAAATCAGACCCCCAAATATAAAGACCCAATTCAAAAATGGGCATCTGAAATGAAAAGACACTTGTCAGACAACAAGTAAAAGCAGAAAATAATCATATGAAAAAAATCTTCTACATCACTGGTCATTTGAGAGATGCAGATGAAAACATCACTGAGTCCATCTCACCCCAGAAAGAATGGCTGCTATCAATAACAAATGTTGGCAGGGTTGTGGGGAGAAAGGAACCCTTCTCCACTGTTGGTGGGAGTGCAGACTGGTGCAACCACTGTGGAAATCAATATGGACATACCTCAAAGAACCAGGATTAGAGGTTCCATTTAACCCAGCTATCTGGGTATCAGATACTCTGCTGGCTATACTTCCAAAAGAATTAAAAGAATCATAACACAGCAATATATGTGCACCCATGTTTATAGCGGCACAGTTTGTAATAGCTAAAACTTGGAAACAGTCCAACTGCCCATCAGTTGGAGACTGGATAAAGAAGATGTGGTTTTTCTCTAAAATGGAGTACTACTCAGCCATAAAGAATGAGAAACTAGAGTCATTCATAGGAAAATGGATGCATATTGAGGCCATACTCTTAAGTGAAATAAATAAGATACACATATGTAAATACCAAATAGTTTCTCTGGTGTGAAAATCTAAAAGTGTAAATAAGACCCAAATTGTATAACTGACAATGTAAATAGGAAGAAAAGGGCTGAAGAAAAGGGCTGTAGGGGAAGTGGGAAGGGTAGGGCAAAGGAAATAAGGGAAAAGAAAAAATATGAGAAAAGGAAAAAATGGAAACAAAGTCTTTGCAAATAAGGAAGAGTGGAGGGGGTGAAGGGAGGGCAGGGGTATGGGGAAAACTGAGTACCAAGACCTGTCATGTAAAAGTACAAGATCCCAATGATGTATGTAACTGTACTGTATACCTAAAATGTACCAATAAACTCAATGAAAAAAAAGAATACTCGTGATCTGTGGTTGATGGAACCCTCAGATGCGGAACCCTCAGATCCAGAACTCACAAATACAATGAGCCAACTGCACTAAAGACTCAGTATGTGGCACACAGCAAATAACTTGGGGTGGGGATGTTACTGTCACCCCAAATCCCCTCTCCTACGGGCGTTGAAGGGAGAGCTGCTGACCTGCCCTGTGGATAGCTTGGGCACCCCCTACACAATCCCTGCTGGACTCAGAGCACCATGAAAGACAGAGAGATGCTATCATGCTCCAAATTCTGCAAACTGCCTGGCACTGCCCAGCCCACACAGCAGAAAGATGTCCACCCCCACTTGTCACAGTTGACACTGAGCCCAAGGCCACGCAGCTGCTCAAGTTGAGTTCTGTGTTCTTTAGTAGTGTTACTCATCAGACATCTTACTCCCAAGAGTTTCTGCGGGCACCAGGGCCAGGTGTAGATAGCAAAGATCCAAGAGAGTTTTACATAGCTGCTGTAGGAAGGAACTCAAAGATTTCAGGTGGCACCTCTCTGAGGTGGTGGGGTTTGGTCTGAGCCTCATAACCAGTATGATATGGGCAAGCAGAGGAGGAAAGAGGGTGACTCCAGGCAGATGGGAAGAAGCAGAGACAGAAGGTGATTAGGATGAGAGAGAGAGAGAGAGAGAGAGAGAGAGAGAACGCTGGAAAGAGGCGCCCCCTGGAGGTGGGGGCTCGCTAGAGACCTGATGAGAGTGCAGGGTCCCGGGTGTGGTGGTCCCGGGCTGGAACACTGAGGAAGATGGTGATCCCTTCAGAGAGGGTCCAAAGTATACAGTAAGAGTGTACACTGAGGTCCATCCAGTGTGGTCAAGTCCTCTGCAGAATTCTGAGTGGGGAATTTCCATTCAGGCTTACACACCCCTCTCTCTGGCTTCCTCCTAGGTGAGTGTTTACATCAGCCTGCACCACATCCAGGAAGTGTGAAATAGTGATGATGATGGGCACAGTAACATTCAGAACCTCCAAAGTGCCAAGCCATTTTCTTCTAAGTGTGTCTCACATACAACGTTGTGTAGTAAGCAGTTACCATCCGCTCTCCACACCTGTGGATTTAACCTACTGCAGACAGAAAATACTAGGGGGAAAAAAAACTGCATCTGTATTGAGCACGTACAGACCTTCTTCTTGTCCCTAAACAGTTTAACAAGTATATGCATGTCACATGTATTAGGTATGAAAAACAATCTAGGTGCAATTTTAAAGTAGATGCAGACGTAAGCCACTGTGCCATTTATAGAAGGTACCTGTGCACCCACAGATTTCAGCAAGCACAGGAGGTCCTGGTACCCTATTGGTACCTAGGGATGATTCACTGTCTTCTCTATTTAACTGCTGGATTTGAACAACTATGTTTTACACCAGTAGGCTATTCTACCCCTCAATGACCAGCCGGCGCAAAATTTTATATCTTCTCAAGAATACAGTTCTTCCTTCACACTAGAAATGGCCCAGCTGAAAACTCCAGGACTCAACTTTTGCACCCTGGTTTGAAACTACAGGATTGCAAGTTTCAGCTTTTATCTAAAGGCTCTCAGCCCACTTCCTGATTGGGAAACCAAGGCTCAGAAAAAAGCAAATGTCTTGTTCCAAGTCCCCACAGTGACTGGAGTCTGAATGAGACCTTTGACCTAAGGTCCAGGCCCGGTGTAAAGGCCAGTAGCTCCTGAGGGTTCTACTGGAGCTGGCTCTGCAGTAGGTGAACATGGAAAGGTTAGGCCAACAAGGAGCAGAATCCCTTACACACACACACACACACACACACACTTCTAGGGAGGAGCTTTGCGAAGAACTTGTATATATTTGAGACATAATGGTCCCACCCAGCTCTGATTGTCACGGGGGCGGGGGGCTGGCACCCTAGCTACTGTGGGGACCCCTCCCTTACCCCCAGGCCATCCATAGCCCTCTCCACATTCCTCACCAAGGAAACTAAAGGTCGCCCAGAGCACTGAGCACTCCTGCACCACTGCCTCAGAGTTTGTGCCCCACACCACTTGCTGGCTTTGATTCTAATACCCATCTCAAGTGCAGTCAGATCCTGACTCCCAGGCCATCTGAAGCTCAGCTCTGAGCCAAGCTGTGCTGTCTAGAAGCCGTGCCCCAGATGGCGGGAGGGCTCGCCCATTGCCTCACATCATCCCCAGGCCGGGGCTTCACTCTGTGGCCTGTGTCACCTGACTCCTAAGCCCACATCCCCGCTGTCGGGAGCCTGCACACCACACTCCCCCAGCCTCATCTGGCATCTTTGGCTCTCCTGGGTAACACATTCCATGCCTGGTAGGTCACTGGGATCTCAATGAGCTCTGACCAGCTCAACACACTCAGCCCCAAGTCCAGTGCAAGGAACCCCAAGTTGAGGCTATGCATCAGTTCTTCCCTGAAACGATGCCCCACTGTTACCCCGGCATGAGACACAAAGGTCCACACTCACCCCAGGCCTCTGCACCCCTCCACCCTGGACACTGAAGACAAGAGGCCCAGGCCCCCACAGCCGAACTTACTGTGTACAGCTCGTTGGTCACCTTCAGGAGCTCCTCATGCATCTGCAGGCCAATCTCCTTGCTCTGCAATGTGAAGGAACAAGCGTCAGTACAGAAATGACCAACATCTGAGGAGATGGAGATGGTAATTACCCCAACTTCACCACCAGACCGCGTGTACACATAGAATGATCACACATTATCGTGTGTAAACACTAGGTGCCATTTAAACATTTCTTAAATACAAATAATCTTTTTTTTTTTTTGGTACCAGGGATTGAACTGGGGTCCTTGTGCTTGTGAAGCAGGTAGCAAAACCACTGAGCTAAATCCCCAGCTCCAGCATTTCTTAAATATCAGAAGGAGAAAAGTTTGCTGGCTGTACTTACCACTTTTTTTTAAACATAGAATGGCAGGGATATCTGGAATGGGGTAGAAAAGGGTGCAGAAATCAACATAAACATCACTGACCTTGATCTGAATTCAACTGGTGTCCATGAAACAAAGTCCTAGAAAGAAGCTCCTTGCAAAAGGAATTTCCTAGTCACATAACTCGAGGAACTCTGCCTCACTTCCTTACCCTGTGACTCAGAGACTTTAACATATGAAAGATTCTTGGGAGCCCCACAGAATCTTTCTTTATCTCTGTATCCTAAACTGGTACCCCAAAACATGTGTTCCTTGCTCTATATTTATTAATATCTCAAGAGAATGGGGCTACAAGTGGCACATTTTGAGAAACAGTGCTCTCATGAAAGTAGATGTGTTTCAGTCTTGATTTGCTCCCATGATTTTCTATCCCCTATTCTTCCCCTTTGGAATAGGAGTGGTTACTCCATGCTGTCGTACCTTGGGATTATATAACCTGTTGTTGGTTTCCCCCCCCCCCATAGGTTCATAGATAAAAGTTTGCCTTGAGTCTCAGAAGAGACTTTGACTCAGACTTGAAGAATGCTGAAACTATTGAGACTTGCAGGAGGGAAATGCTACGTTGCTGGCTGTGCTCAGGATAGCTATCTCATGTTCACTGCAAACTTGCTATTGTCTTTATTTGAGATTAGGTGTGTTTCAAGGAGATATGTCTGGTTGTCAAGCTGACAAGGGGTGGATTGTGGCTGTTCATTGGGATATTGATCTTATGGGATTAAAACTGTTCGGGGGATCAATAAGCACCCTCTGGGTGTGTGGGTGTACACAGGTGTGACCTTGGGTTACTATCTACAGTCCCTGGCCCCTTCCTATTTGGCTCTGTTTTCCTGCCCTGCTTCCTTCTGCCACACTACTTCACCATGAAGTTCCTGCCTGGGAGCCAGCTGACCTGGGCTGAACCCCTGAAACAGTGAGCTGAATTAAACCTCTGCGCCTTCAGCTGTGGGTGTTGGGTATTTGTCCTAGCAATGGAAAAATCTAACACCAGTTTAGGCCTCCTTCCAGCTCCAGTGACTAAAGAAAGGGAGCCCAATCCAAAGTAAAGTGGAGCCTGTGCAGAACTTTCTGTGCAGAGATCACCAGGGACCTTCAGCAAAGTTCACGAATTCATAGTGGTGCTCAGTGAACCCAAACAGCCACCCCCACCTCCTCTTCTCTGTGCCTCTCTGAGCAGTCAGAGTCAGTCTCCTCTGTGACTCCGACCTCCCGAGACTCCAGACTTTCAACACCTCCCATGCATCCTCTCTGTCTGCAGATGCACTAACCTCTCTAATACCTGACATCCCGATTTTTACATGTATTTTTGTGATCTGAACTTTGTCACAGATAAATGCACATGTTTTTCAGATGCTGTCTGGAAACAGTCCATAGATGTATGAACATACCTTTGGCTACCGCATGTTGTCTCATTGCACAAATGGGAGCACACTATGCACACACCTGCCCCTTGCTTTTGCTGCTTAGCAATATACCTGAGAGTTTTCCCATTGCATCCCCTAGTCATATTGTTGCTTGGGATTCCATATACCAGGTGCATTGCTGATCAGTTTAACCAGCTCCATAGGGATGAACATTTAGGTGGCTTCTGGTGGCTTCAAACAATGACACAGTGGGCATCCACATACTACCACTGTGCACACTGGCATGGATCTCTGCAAACAGAGACCCTGTCCAAGAGGCAGCTCTGCTGGGAAGAGTTCTGCTTTCAGAATTCCTCCAGCATTGCCTCCCCAGCCCCTGCCCCAGCTGGCTACCCTCACACACTCCTGGTATTGGTGATCCGTGGACACGTCTATAGCTCCATAGACCTCTCTCCTGGGTTCCACCCTGCCTGATCTTGAGCCCAAGATCAAAGACATATTTTGCAAAACAGAATGGATGGGATGTCTCCCCGTCACATCAAACTCAAAGTATTAAAAAGTAAACTTTTGGACCAGGCATGTAGCTCAGTGGTGCCACCGCCTGCCTGGCAAGTGCAAGGTCCCAAGTTCAGTCCATGATACCAAAAATAATAATAAATAAAAAGTGAACCCTTGAAGTAAATTCCTCCATCCCTCCGTTTTGTATGCTGAGATAATACCTTCCTGGGCTTGCCAACTGGAAACCTTGGGTTTATCTTTGACACTTTTTATTCCCTCTTCTTTAATTCAACTAATCGCTATGTCCTGTCTTCAAACTAACTGCCCAGTCCTTTGTTCTCTGTAGCAAGTAATGGAGGTTCCCTGACTATCACCCATCCCTGCCCTGCCACACATCTGGCCACACGTCTGGCCCGGCATCCATGCCTCCTGCCCAGTTCTTCTAGGAAAGTTGATCCTATTCCGGCTCAACATGGTACATTCTTCTTTGTGTTCTTGCAACCCAGGGGTAAGTATATGACTTAACTGCGTTGCAAGGGAGGACTTGTGTGGTTGAGAAGCATTAGCCTTTCTACTGTGCTAGCAAAAAGCATGCAGCCCCAACTGCTACTGCAGGCATTTTAGGACCAGAAGAGAAGCTGCCTTAGGACAAGAGCGTACAAGGAACCTGGCTCCTTTTGTGACCCCCTGAGCACCTGACTGAACTGAGAACCCAAGTCTGCCTTCCAGTTGTGTGGCTTTATTGGCTAAAGCCACTTTAAACTGGGTTCTCTGTTTCTTGCAGCCTAAAGCCCCCTAAGGGATCCAGTCTCGTTTCCACCCCCAGTTCCTGAACCAAGCCCATCTTCACAATAGACCCAGGTCTCTCCCTGAAGCTTCACTCTTTGCATTAAGCATCATTCTGCATGCCCACGCTCACAGAGTTTCCTACACATATATTTTATGGTGTACTTCCAAATCCTCCCCGGTGTCTACAGGATCAGGTCTCAGCTCCCTAGCTTGACGTCCAAAGCTGCATGTGATTTCCACAGCCCACGCTTAGAGTGGAAGTCACATGACTTCCATTTTCTCGTACACAGTGGAGGGGTAAATTTTGGAGCCACAGTGACTCAGTTTGGAGGCACGGCTTTGAGTCATTTACTCTGTGGCAGCTTTGCTTCCCTGTCTAGCTGTGAAATGAGCACCTGTTTCTGTAAGCGGAGGTGTGACAGTCTTTCTTGTCTGCTGGCTTCATCCCTCACCATTCGTCTCCCCTGCTGGAATGTAAGCACTTTGAGGGCAAAGACTTTCTTTCTGGCAGTAAATGCTCCAAACCCCAACTGCTGGGAGTACTGTTGGCCAATGGCCAGAGCTGATTGCTCCCTTTAGGTATGGCCTGAACAAAGGACCAGGACAAGGTGTCTGGTCCTCACCCATATGAGCACGGTTTCACCCAGGCTGATCATTGCAGGGCATAAAAACCTAACTCCCTTGTTCGAACCTGGACAGCCATGAGAGGCTGTTCATCACTGGGGCCTCTGCAGTGCTGACTGAGGCTTCCACTCAGGCTTCGCACTGCCTTTCCTGCCCTCCCACAAGCACTCCCTGATCATTCTCCTTAGATGCCTCTCAGTGTGCCTGTCAGTACCCATCTGCTGCATCTTTGGTGCTCCTTTCCACAGCCCTGCACAGAGCCTGTCGCATTGTAGGTACTCATTAAATATGTTTGTTGAATGAAAAAATGAAGGGGCAGTTCCTTTAAGCTTTGGTTTCCTTATTTGTAAAAGTGGGGTGATGTGACAGGGATCAGAGTTCCTGTGAAGGTGGCAAGAAAAAATACACATGGCACCACCTGACACTAGATGGGGCACAGATGAAGTACTCAGAAAACTCACACAGGCTGAACCAACACTCATGAGATGCAAGCAGTGAGACCCAGCAAGTCATCCAGAGGGGAGAACACAAAACTAACTCTTTCATCAACTCCTCCATTCACAATCTCCCCATGTCAGCAAAGCAGAAGGTCAAGAACACACAGAAGTCTAAGGAAGAAGGCAGAAAGGGGCATGGAAGAGCATGAGATGGAGGAACTGGGGAGTACCCCAGAGCCCTCTTGCCTGATGTGGATGAACACAGACTGTTATAATTCAGATCTATGATTTCCCCCAAAGGTTCAGAAGTGGGGCTTCTGGAAAATGAGGGCTGTCACACTCATCAGTGAATTGTTCCATTGATGAGTTCACAACTGAAAGTGCTGCTAGGAAATGGGACCTGGTTAGAAGAGGTGGATCAATGGCCCATGACCTGGAAGAGTTTTTCTATTCCCTTCCCCTCTCTCTGCTTCCTGGATGCCCTGAGATGAGCAGCTTCCTTGGCCAGACCCATTCACCATACTGTTTCTGCCTTGGAGTCAGCTAACCATGGACTAAACCCACTGAATCCATGAGCCAAGTGAACCTCTCCTTTAAATTATGGGTATGGAGTATTTTGTCCCAGAAATGAGAAGGCTGACTAATTCTTCACCTTTGGGTAATGGGAGAGTGGAGGGGCAAACACAGCCCAAGCAAAGGCACAGAGGAACACTGTACTGCAAAGACAGAAGCACAGGCGGGAGATACACAAAAAATGGAGGCTAATGGGGGGGCTGGCTTCCTTCAGAGTGGAGCAGGGAGCTACTGAAGGTTTTTGAGCAGGGGAGCAGAATGGGCAGGTCTGTGCCTTAGAAAGGTGTGAATGTGCCCAGAGCATGGACTGGACTAGGGGGGGCTGGACGTTTTTGCTTGTTTCATCAATGGGACTCTCAGCCAGCAGAGGGAG